GACTAGTTCTGATATGATAACAATTCAACATGTTGATTTAGAAATATACAATTCAAAAAAAATTATAATTCAAAAAGCGGTATAGTTCTCTGGAATTGATGATTTAAAGCGTCCAATATTTATTTGAAGACATAATATATAAACAACAAGTCCTTTCTCGTTCTCATGGTCGCGAGAAAAATAAAGCCCCTGGTATCGGCCAGTCAAATAAGGATTTTAATTGGTCTGTTTTGTATCAATATGTTGAAGTATTCCGTGAGAACATCCAGTTAAGCTGCGTGTCACGTGATCGGTCGATACCAGGGCCTTCTCTGTCATTTTGAACAATATCCAACAGAGGAGCTGGGAACGAAGTTATTGGAAATCGAGATTTACGAGGGTGAAGAAAATTTCACTATTTTGTTTTTCTCATGATATTAAGACAGATCGAYTCGCTTGCTCTGTGCTAATAGTAGTCTTCAACAAACCGCAGAGCACATACAGTCATCAAAATCCCAATCAGCTGAAAGAAGATATGTACATCAAGCATTAAAGGTGGTCTTATGAAATAGATTGAATTATTAGTAAAATACACACCACATTGGCCACCAATAGAGAAATTATCGGGACGCCTAAATAATTGGGGTTGTGCAATTATGTCCAGGCAAATGCTTACGGTTTCATTTTCTTTTTCTTTTTTCTTTTTTTGTGTGTAAATTACCTTGGGGGCTACGACCMTGAATTGAATTTATTAAATTGCGTACGGTTTTGAAACCGTATTTACGTAATAGAATTCTTCGTCAATCGGTACGATTACTTTTGTTATTTCATTTCTAATAAGTCTAAAAAACCTTTCTTTAATTCATCAGGGCGCGCGCGGCAGTCGCTAAGATGTCAGGCCAGTGAGTGTGTTCTCTTATTGACACAATTCATAGTTCTGACAAATCAAGCGCGAGCGTGCGATCATCCAATCAGAAGAAAGCGTGAGAATCGAAGGCTCGTGTTTGTCCCACAAATGATTTCGAGTTTTTGTAAATGACAGTCTTCCGACGATTTGTCGATTTAACAAATCGAGATCTTTTCTATGGTCTGTACGCTTATCGACAATGAAAATGACGCATTTTTTTAGTTTTTGACTTGAGAATCAAAATAAATCGTCCTCCATTTCACCTGGCTGGCTAGCGCTCATTTGCTTTACAAGTGCCCCAGCGACATCACAAAACCATCTCAACTTCGCCCTCCGATCCGACTTTGTTTACATTTTTTTGCGGGACAACATGGCTGCCATTACGTGTCCTCTATTGTGATTGGCCAATCCAGAGCGCGCGAATAACGCGTTTGATTCGTCGGAACTATGAATTCCATGATCAGCCAATCAGCGCGTGAAAATTTATACAAGTGWGGTATAAATCATACATGATTTTTTTATTCTGTTTGTTTTTTTCTAGGTGCGAACTTTGTCAAACTTATCGTATGAGATGAGTTAGTCCAGTAATCTTTCAAAATAGAACACAATATGCTGGGGAAGAGCAAAAACGACTTAATTGTCTTTATTTACAGCGCGTGGATCTTGAGATGACTAACAGAGACTCATACCTGTAAGGCCGCTGTTCCTATAAGCACACCACCAAGTACTTCTAGATGTGTTTGGAATAGCCCTGTTAGCTTACCAAGACATCCCTAAGAGTAATGAAGAGAGCAATCTTATATGTCATCCCTTATTATTCAATATTATYATTTATTATATAGATGATTTCTAACGCGCGCTCTGATTGGCCAAAAAAGTGTGGTTTATGAGAGTATAAACCACGGCTGAGCCTTATTTATTTGTTAAATAATAAAAAAAAGGCGGAAAAGAAAGTCATGTATCAAGAGAAGGCTATCATGGTAATATATTCGTTAGTTATCAACGATTGGTTCATTATATAGTTCTAAAAGGCTCAGACTATCTCTTTGCGCCTCTTTATAATTTTATGACTCAAAGTTACTAGTGTAACTCCAACTTCGAAGCTGGCATATTTAAGATAATACTAAACCAACCAATCAGAAGCAACCACTTCCTTTCAAAAATAATATCAACAATAATAAATAAATAGATGAATAGATAAAAATCAAAATAGATAAAAAAATAATGAAATTTAAAGACAAAAAAGAAGAAGAAGAAAAGACTGCAAAGCATCCAAAGTGATACTGGCGTCTTAATGGTAATTAGCAAAATTAGTCAAATTAAGTCGATTTCTGAAGGATTGTTGAAAAAAAAGTTCATTAAAAGTTCATTGTACCTCGCGGTTGATATTGGATGGATGATCTCTTTTTCCGCAGCCTCGAGATGGTGTTTTACAACACGAATCCGGTACCGAGTTATTTCCACTGACTTCGCTTCGTCTCCAGGCTGACGCATTCCATGTRGAATAAGTAGCATCACCACAACAATTGAACTACAAAAAAATCACTACTTTAGTACGYCTTTTGCTGTTCATTGACAGCGAAGAAATATTCAGACGAATTGAACAGGCATATAATGACGAGAATRTAGTCTCAGGAGGTCGATGGTCTGGCATTCATTATTGGTGCTCGTGGAAGGAACTGTTGCCTTTCTTGTAACAGTAACAGTAACAGTTTTATTTTATGAATCATCCGTATTTACATTTGGAGTTTACCCTCGCAGTTAGTCCAAGACTATTTGAGGCGAGGGCGATAATGAAGGAGAAAAACTAGTATAGAAATGTCAAATATTCACAGTTTGAGTACGTATATTAGGAAATTATTCAATAAATATTAGGATAAATATAAAATGATGACAAAGGTGTTCCTCAGTATGAAGCCTTTAGCTCGTTAATAATCTGATCGATATCTAAAAAATCGTCTGCTTTTTCTAAAATCTCGAGAGAGATGCTCTTAATCAGTGCTTTGAATTTGAACTTATTCAGACTTTTAATGGAAACAGGGAGACTATTCCAGATTTTAGGGCCCATAAAACGAAAAGAACGCCTACAAGATTCAGTCCTGACGCCATCARCGTAMATACATTTATTTSATGTTGATCGTGTCGTGTATCGATGGACATCTTCCAATGATCTGAATAAGCAGTTCAAATTGTCTGGGGCTTGACTGTTGAAAATATCATGCACCATAATGCATACCCGCTCAAAAAACATGAAGTTGATGGGAAGTGAGTGTATCTGTAGGAAAAATGGTACAGTGTGCTCCCGCGGGTTTGAGAAGTTGATTAATCTTAGCGCACGCTTTTGTAGAACAAGTACTCTTTTAAGGTGTGTTTTAGCAGCATTTCCCCAGCTACAGATTCCATAATTTACATAAGGGACTATCAAAGTTTTATAAATGCTAAACATTGTTTGGCGTGGTACAAAATGCCGCAGTTTTAGCAATGATGCCAATCGATTTACGTATTTTTTGCACAACGTGTTCTATGTGAAATTTCCATGATAGCTGCGAGTCTAATAGTACGCCAAGGTATCGTATTGTATCTTTATGGCAAATTAATTGAGGTGTGTTTGAATTATCTGGGATGTAAAAAGAGGGAGAAAATGGGAGTTTTTTTTGACGAGGTTTAAAAATAACAAAGTTAGTCTTTTTAACGTTAAGAGATAAACGATTAGTTTTTAACCATGTCGACAGCGATAAAAGCTCATTATTTACTATAAGTTGCAGTTCATTAAGATTTCTGTTATCACAAAGTATAGTTGTATCATCTGCAAACAGGTAGAACGATAGGGTTTTGCTCGATTTATATATATCGTTAATGTAGATAAGGAAAAGTAGTGGGCCCAGCACTGAGCCTTGGGGCACTCCACAACTTACTGATTGATAATTGGAAATGGCTCCATTAATAGAGACTGTTTGTTTTCTATTTGTTAGATACGATCT